GGTCCTGTCCAACCCTCGGTGACGTGACGTTGGTGACAGAAAATGGCGCCGGCGCTGGAGCTGAACCTCGTCCTCTTCCTCCTCCTCTTCCTCCTCTCCCTCCTCTTCGCCACACCAGGTACGGGGCTGGATGAGGGGCTGGGGTGGCCACGTGGCTTTGGGGACATTTGGGGACTTTGTGGTGAATCCGCCCTGTCCCCACAAGGTGCCACCACCGGGTCCCTCCAATGGGAGCCACCGCACCCGGGGCGGATGGACTGTCCCCACATGGAGTCCCCAAAAAAATGGAAATTTTTAGGAATTTGGGGCGGGAAAATTCAAAATTCTGGTCCTGCCCCTCTTCATGCAAAGGGCTCCAGAAAGGGCGGAGTTATTTCAATTTTATTTTTAACATTTGAGTTATTTCCGTTTGGAACGTGTCCGGAATTCCAAGTGGGATGAGACCTGGGGAAGGACGAGCACCCCAACTCCACCATCCCCAATTTTTTTTGGCAGCCCGGGCACAAGAACCCCAACCCTTGGAGGTGACCGGAGCCGTGGGCGGGGTGGCACTTCTGAACCCCCAAATGCCCCAAAACCCCTCAGAATACTCCCAAATCCACTGGCGATGGAAAACCGAGCTGAAGATCGCCACCCTGAAGAGGGGGGAGCAGCCCAGGTACCTCCAGAGCCGCTTTGAGGGACGCCTGGAGCTCCTGGAGAACGGAACCCTCAGGATGAGCAACCTGAACCTCGGGGACAGCGGCGAGTTCCGGCTGTACCTGGAGGATGACACGGGCAGGGAGAGCGTCCAGAAGGTTCTGCTGAGGGTCTACGGTGAGTCTGGTGACAGGGGATTGTCCCAGGGGGTGTTGGAGACATTGTGATGGCCTGGGGCTTGTTCCAGAGCGTCCAGAAGGTTCTGCTGAGGGTCTACGGTGAGTCTGGGGACAGGGGATTGTCCCAGAGCCTCATGGGTGGGTTGGGGACATTGTGGTGTCCTGGGGGTTGTTCCAGAGCATCCAGAGGGTCCTGCTGAGGGTCTACGGTGAGTCTGGGGACAGGGAATTCTCCCAGGGAGCATTGGGGAAATTGTGATGGCCTTGGGATTGTCCCAGAGCTCTAGAGGGTCCTGCTGAGCATCTATGGTGAGTCTGGAGACAGGGAATTGTCCCAGGAGTGTTGGGGACATTGTGATGGCCTGGGGGTTGTTCCAGAGCTCCAGAGGGTTTGGGGATTGTCCCAGAGTGTCCAGAAGGTTCTGCTGAAGGTCTACGGTGAGTCTGGGGACAGGAATTCTCCCAGGGAGCATTGGGGAAG